CGAATAACAGGCATACCAAATTGGGAGGCCATTAAGGACCAATTACTTGAATAAACCAATTTGGGAGTGACCAAGGTTTGACGATGAGACATGGGGTGAATGCGGTGGGTAACTAGATATAGTTTAAACATCAAATCCAGGTATAACCCAATACGTAATGGGAATGTAGCATACTCTGGTAGGTTTAGGTCGTAGATAAAATTGTCTAAGCCAGTATTCTTAAGATTATATGGGGGTCCCACAGCAAAAGGTGGTGATAGGCCAAAAAAAAATTTTTTGTAAAAACTTCATTTTTGCAAAAATTAGATTATTTAGAACACAATATTAAAAAACTACAGAAAAAAATTTTTTGGCCCATCACCACCTTTTGCTGTGGAGCCTCCCATATGTAGCCATATAAGGCAAAATTTAACATCTAATAAAGATACGAGGCAAAATCTCACCTTAATACCGAAAAAAAAAAATATATATATATATATTATACATCAATTTTACGAATTTAGAAGTTTAAAATACAATAATATATTATATATCAATTTTATTACAAATTTAGAAGTTTAAAGTACAATAATATATTGCATATCAATTTTATGAATTTAAAAGTTTAAAGTATAATAATATATTGTATAATAATTTTATAAATTTAGAAGTTTACACAACATTATTTTTACGAATTTAGAAGTTAAATAAAATAATATATTAAATAGATTTGAAAACTTGTTTCATTGAGTTTGTTTTGCAAGAATCTGAGTTTATTGAATCTTAATCTATTATCATTGAGTTTGTTTTGCAAGAATCTGAGTTTATTAAATCTTGACCTATTATTGTTGAGTTTGTTTTGCAAGAATCTGAGTTTATTAAATCTTAACCTATTATCGTTAAGTTTGTTTTGCAAGAATCGAAGTTTATTGAATCTTGACTATCATTGTTAAATCTTGACCTATCATTATTGAGTTTGTTTTGCAAAAATCTGAGTTTATTGAATCTTAACCTATTATCATTGAGTTTGTTTTGCAAGAATCTGAGTTTATTGAATCTTGATATCAATTTTTTAAAATAACAAGTGATAGAATTTAAATTAACATATGAAATTACTAAAAAATATAAATACTTTTTTAATCTTCATTTAACAATATAATAATTTATTTATAATAAAAAAAATAATATAAATAATATTTAAATTAAAAACTATCTTCACTAGTAACTTCATGAAGAATCCACCAGGGTGACCAAGAATTTTTCGGGTCACGTAACGATCGACAGCAAATTTATTTAATGGGAAACCGTAATTTAGTGTAATATAACATGATCAGGAAAGTCACAAAACAAACATTCGTTTTGACAAAAACATCATTTATCTCAAGAACTAACATAAGAATCCACCTTTTATGCACTAATTAAAAGATTTTCTTGACCAATTTTACTATATGTTTCTTATTTTCTAACCTTAAATATATCAATAACCCTAACTTTAACAAATTTTAAGATATTTTGTTGTTTTCACATGACCTGAAAAATTCTTGATCGCCCTGGTGGATTCTTTCATGAATATCTCGTATTAATTCTTTATATTCATCATAACTATTATAACTACTATCATTAGAATCATATTCACTAAATCTATTACTATCATTATTAACAGAATTATTAATATCACTAATAACATTAAGAACATCAGTTTGAAAAATAAAAGATTCATTATTTATAAATTCATTAACTACTTCATCATATGAACAAAAATTCATATAATAATATTCATTTGCACAATTAAAACTTTGTCTAAAAAAAATTGCATAAAAATTCAATCTATCTTCATACTGTCTAACAGTATTTTCACTAATTTTTTCATATTGGTTAACAGTATCTTGAATAATAATATCCTTTTCTTTGATAATTCTTTCAAGACATTTAATAGATTCAATATAAACTTCTTCAATTTTTTTAATTTGTTTATTTAATTGTTAAATTTCTTCTTGTTAATTTGATGAATTCTTCTTTCTTCTCTCAAATCCCATTAAGCATTATATAATTCTTCATGTAAAATAATGTTAAACATTTTTTTTTAAAAGTTTGTAAATATGGATATGGTTCTTTACCAGTTTGTTGTATAAAAATTAAATCGTTTAACATTTAAATAAAAATAAAAAAATCCAACATTTAAATAAAAAATTAACTAATTCTATTTTTTTAAAAGATTCTTCTAACATATCAGCTGTTTTTTTTTTATCTTTTTTGTATATAAATAATTGGTTCACATTCGGATAATCATTTAAATATTTAATCTTGTGATTAGAAAATTTTTTACTCCAATAAATATTATCACCAATAATAATTTCTTCTCCCTCAATTCCTATATTAATTTTTTTAGATTTTTCTTTAATTTCTTCAATAGAATTTTCTCTATTATGATATTTAATATCCTATAACATGTTTCTAAATTTATTCTCATCTCCTTTTTCAAATATAATTTGTGTAGTTCTTTTTTCTTGATCATTATTTTATTTTCTATCAAATCTGATTATGTAATCTAATCTATGTTTGAATTGGTTATAATCTTTCTTATTATCATCTTCTCCTCCATATTGACCAAAATTATAAGCTTCTTCAGGTAGTTTAGTTGCTGTTAAACAAATATATTTAGCCAAAAAAGGTTCAAAACTACTATATTTATATTTAACTTCAAAACAAGAATCATTTAATAAATTTATCATTTTATTTCAATTAATCTTTGTATAAAATTCATCAATTAAAACTGTTTCTTGTTCAATATATCTAGTGTTTAAAATTGGCTTGCACATGCATACACAGTGCAAGTAAATATTTTAATGTGCAAAAAAAAATTTGAAAAAATAGGTTTGTGCATGTAAATTTTTTTAAATTTTCATAATAAACTTACTTTTGTTACACAAAATTGTTAATTTGTGCAAGTAAATTTTTTTTTGAATTTTAAACACTGAATATATCTATTCCAATAAGAACTATTTGTTCATTGCTTCTTTGGTTTGTCATAAAGTTCAACATGAAATAATTCTAAAAACCATCCAGTTTTTTCTGTCTTACCAGGACCATAACAATAGAATATAAGTAGACACCAAAATCTTTTTTTCTTGTATTTCTTTAAAAATTTTTGTTTATCATTAATAACTTTCTCTGCATTTGTCGGTGTTGTAAACCAATTAGCTAGAATTTTATTTTTATTAAGTACTACTTGTTCATATGTAAGTTCTTGATCACAAATTTTAATTATATATTTCATATCATCCAATCGTAATTCAGATGTATTATTATTATCAGAACCTTCTAAAAATCAATAAGTTCCAAATTCAAATAGACCAATTATATCTGATGATAAATGACCATCACCCTACCTTGCATATGAGTGAATATAATTTGTATCACAATATTCATATATTAGTGATAAATCAAAATAATCATATTGACATTTAGAATATACTTTGCAATGATTATAAGTTTTCATAGTATAATTTTTATTTTGCTCTGAATTACCTGCAAGAAATTTTAAAAATGATACAGAATTATCATTAAGAATAGTTTTTATAGATTTTATAGTTTGACGTTTATTAAATTGTATATATATTTAAGCATAAAGTTTATCAGAACCAGTAACTTCAAATTGACCACAAATATATGATATATTTTTATTAATTTCATTAAATACTATTTGTTTTGTAGATAAAGAATATATATAATCTTTTTCATTTGTTATACAATAATTACATTTTATTTAATTATATTTATTTAATTCACAACATTTTGTGCATTTTTTTCTTTACAACACCAATATTGTGCTAAATAAAGGGAACTCTAATCATTTGATATTTAAGCTCTTGTTCTTCTTTATCTTTTAGTGATAATGTTTATTACATTTAAATTTGTTTTTACAAGAAATACAATAAAAACTAGTTGCACAATTATAACAAAATTGTAATCTTATTTTTTTTCAATTTTTTTTTAAAAAAAAATATCTATTATATAAATAATATTACTTTAATCAATATAAATAAATTAGAGATTTATTTTATAGTGCTATAGCATTGTAATGCTATAGCACTATAGCACTATGGTTTTTATATATATTTTTATA